ACATGATCCTCAGGGATTTCAATGTCAAAGAGTTGATGATATATACAGCTGCCAAGTTATTGCACAAAAAGTGCACAGAAGAATTGGCAAACTCTTTAGCTCATATAGTGACTGCTACCAAAATGGGAAAACATCTGGAAAAAAAGTCAGATTAGAAGTTTACCCAGCTTGGATACACTCCTGTGGCCAAGAATGGGCACACCACCACAGACATTTCTTACATATCACCATTATCAGACTTGTCACTAGAGGAAGAGAATTGTACCACTGGGTGTTTAGAAAGCTTGGCAGGTCCTTTAACCTTGGGGCCCCCATTCCCTTTTTTTGGAGCCATCTCAAAGCATACCAGCCAAATAAGATGACAAATCCAATTATTTAGAAAAAAACTAACCACCCAATAGACTAAATGTATGTGTATATAAGTGACATAAATAAGATGACAATTCAAAAAGCAATGACAATAATAATAATAGTAATAACAACAATACAATTTGTATAAAGAGGTGCCCTAATGGGTCAATTCCTCTGAAATATAACCTACTGCAAAAACAAAACAAAACAAAACAAAACCCAAACCCAAAAAAAACCAGCAACCTTGCCGGGGGGGGGCATAGAGTTCTGTGACTGTCTTAAGAATTATATGCTTTGTGGCTGTGTGGAGCTCAAGGGGTAGGCCAGACAGGCTAAGAGCTAAGAGAGGGATCTGAACCCTGATCTCCAGGGTCCTAAGTCCAACGCTCAAACCACTAGGCTACACCCTTTCCCTGGAAGGGGCCGCTGAAGGAAAATGGTCACAGCAGCCACCAAGCAACTAACCAGGCCTAGGCTGGGCTGATAAAGATTGGGTGGCAGGCACCACCCTGGGCACAATTCCAGGAAGGGGGGGACAGAAAACGGCCATGGCAGTCTGGCCAGATGGCCACCCACCTGGTCAAGAGCAAACACTAGCCTGCATCCACCCAAAGCCACATGAGGTACAAAGCCATGGGACAACCAGGCAACCCAGGCAATCCCCCAGGACCCAAGTGAAGGACCACCCTCTGAAGGACTGGCAGACTTTTCACCACTTCTCCCAACCACAAGGAAGGGGAGGAGAAAAAATAAGGAAACCAACTCAGCCAAAAGCAAGGAGATGTCCTCTCTCCTCAGTCAAATTCCTGAACTGAAGCTCTTGGGGTGGCAGGCACTCAGCCAATTTTGGCTCCACCTGAAAAGCTTCCCACCACAGCATAACTGCCATGTGTAATTGCTCTTAGCCTGTCTCTTTCCAGGGGAGGGCAACAAACAGCCCATCCCCCTCCAACACCTCTGTCATGGAGGTGGAGGGATGGCCAGTGTCTATGTGTGTGTCTGTGTGTGTGTGTCTGTGTGTGTGTGAGACAGAGAGATAAATGCTAATTTGGGAACCAACAGGCTATTTCACACTCCATTCACTTGTATAAACATTTCATTGAAGATGGAAAGCCAAAAGTTTTGGCTTTTAAAGAACCTTCATTATATCAATGTGTATTTGCATTTACATAGCTAGGCACCAAGAAAGAGATAACAAATGGAATATAATTGATGAATGGTGATTTTTTTTCTTGTTTTTTCCCCCATACAGGATTATCAGTAAAGTCATAAATTTTTAATTTATTATGCCAGTCAGTTGTATTTCTAGAAATTCATTAAAATGATGGGTCACACTTAAGAAACATTTTTGCTATGGGGATAAGGCTTGTTTTAACTTTGTATGTTTTAAAATGTTGTAACCCGTCCCGATTGTAGAACAGAGGGGCGGGCTAGAAATAAAAAAAATTATTATTATTATTATTATTATTATTATTATTATTATTATTATTATTATTATTATGCTAGAAAGAGCCTTTTTTGGAATTCATGAAGAGTTTTATTATTAATTATTTTGAAATGTTGCATAATTTTAAAGAGACTACCTAAAATTTCCTTAAATAGCACAGATATTTTGTATGGATTCAGCAAGTCTGGGAATAGTTCCAACAGTCATAAACATCTGAATTAACAAATACTATCTCTTCTCTTTATTATTAAACAGTGGAATGTTTTTTATTCTAAGGAGCTTCCCAAGAATTTAAAGTAAAACAGATGTAATAGGATTTTGGATGACTATAATTGCCTTTTCACTAACTGAAATCTTATTTTTGAAAATAAAAAAAGAATAAAAGACATTTTTTTTAATTGACATCATCCTTTAGGATTCCTCATTCATCACTTTTAAATCTTGAAGAAATCTAAACCATTGGTCCCCAAAACACTGCAGAAATAATCCAGTTTGAGGCCGCTTTCAATGCTCTGGCTCAGTGCTAGAGAATTTTAGGAATTTAAGGGGCAAAGCAGATCACCTGAAATGAGCAGCTTCTGGCCGCCCCTTGGAGCACTGGATTGGGGCTGTGGCAACTGCATTCTGCAGCCCCAAAAGAAGCAGCAAAATGCCACTCCTTTGGGGGACAGAAAAAAGCCTCCCAATGTCCCCTCAGAAACTTCATGACCCTGCCCACCATCGTGTCAGGTGGGTGGTGTGACTCTGGCTTGGGGGCAGAGTTGGGGTGGGAAGTGAACAGTCACCACTCCCAAGTTAGCTCTTATTGCTTGTCTGCTTTCCCCTTAATTTTTGTAGTTTATTTTTGGCACCAGAGCTCTCTGACAGAGAAAGCTAAATGCTTCACAAAATTACAGTTTCCAGAATCCCCTAGCATTGAGCCAGAGCAGTTAAAGCATTCTCAAACTGGATGAATTTTGCAGTGTGTTTTGGATCATTAAGCCAAAAATCATTAATATGGAAAAAATATTTCATTGACTGATTTTAAGATTCATATCCCTACCTTTTGATTGAATGAGCCTCAACATGGCTTATAACAGATTGAAATAACACAGAGACACACAATAAAAACCCTGAGACACATAAAGCAACTGATTTTGGTCTTCCAATGGGGGCATACTATCTTTCTCTTCATATTTGCAGTCTAAAATGTTTCAACTGTTGATAGGCAAGTTCAAGGGTTCTGCTCTCCCTTGTTACAGAGTTTCCCCACCTTTAAGCTCAACTTTTATTATACAGCTTTCAAAAAGAGAAGTTTTCAAATAGTGAACTTTCAGCTAGTAGGCATTCAGATACATAGATGGAAGAGAAATGTGTTGGAAATGTGTATTTGAATCTTTTCAAGGCTGCCAATGAAGTGGAATTTCATCTTGTCTTGTTTTCCCTAGATTGGGTTGTTTGTGATCCTTACATTTGGGAGGTTTGTGGCTTCCTTTGAAGAGTGTTTGGGAAGCTCAGACCTGTAGCCAACTTGTTAACATGCACTGGCTACAGGGAGCACACAGCTCCTTTCTTGCAACAGCTTCACTGTCTACAGAAACAAATCCAAAGGCCATTTATGTCATATGCTCCTATGAGGGTTGGGTCCGAATTATAAGGCGGCTTATATTCTCCCACATGTGCCTCTCCATGCTTTGAGATCTTCTGAGGAGTCTGTTCTCTGTGCCCAGCCACTCTTATGGATACATCTGGTGGCTAGATGGAAAAGGGCCTTCTTGCTAGCTGCTCCCAGGCTGAGGAATTCCCTTGAGAGATTAAGCAGGTGCCCTCCCTACTATCCTTCCTTAAGCAGCTCAAAATCTTTCTGTTTCCATAGGCCTTTGGTAGTTGATTGCTCAGTCAGAAAAGAGTAGTTCAGAATGTGTTACATTGGTTGTTTATTGCTTTCTTTTTAATGGTACTTTCTTTTTAATGGTGATGTTTTAAACTGTTTTTCATTCTATTGTCAGCTTACTTATATTCTTAATTTTTATATGATATAATTTTTATGCTGTATCTGTTTTAACTTTTGCACTTTTAACTTTTGTATCTATTTTAACTTAACTATCATTGAGGAAGGAAAATGTACCCAAGATCTTGCATATATTTTAAAACTGCACAACTAGAAATGTTGATATTTTAAAAATGTAGACATATAAAAAGGATAGAAAAATGTGTACATTAGAAAAGAGTGAAGAAAGGCTAAGATGTGGCAGGGGGAAGTTTGTGTCTCCTTTAACTTTTTCCTGTTGGGAAAACAAAAGTACACAGAAATATAACAATGCATTTAATTTGCTCGAAGTATCACAGTGACAGAGGGATGTATATACTAAAGTTCTGTTAGCAGTGACTCTGACCACTTTTTGTGTTGAAGAAGTTAATGTCCATAATTGATTTAATTCAACATCATCTTCAATTAATTAGTATAAATTGATTCAGTTTAACTCCTTTTAATGGAGATGAAGAGTCTGATTAAAGCTGTATGCAGTATAGGTCAAGGAAACATAGATTGCCAATGGATTTCTGTAAATGAGTAAAAGAAAAGGGCATATAGGTAATATCATTCATACCAATACAACAAAGAAAGTTAAATTGATCATTCATGCATTTGGATAAGTTTAATTTTTCTGAAGTGATCATTGTTATTCAGTTTCAAATTAATGCTGCAGAGATAGATTATTAAACTCAACTCCCTTGTAACGTTTCAAAGAAAAATTTGACAGACACCTATCAGAAATATTTCAGACACTCCAATCTGAATAATGTTCATAGAATATTCATAAATTTAAGTTAATGCATTCTACCTCCCCTAGCTTGATTAAAGCATTATAAAGTTAATTCTTTTGTGTTTTCTGCACAATGACATCTATCTGTGGCAATTATTATTTAGTTTAATGTCAAAAGCTTTTTCTAGTCAATCCCAATTAGGCATGGGAAAAATGCAGCCCTCTTGATATTATTGGATTGTAACTGCCATCAACCCTAGTGAATATATCCAGTGATAATATGTGGTGGGAATTTCAGTCCAACCCATTTGATAGACTATCTCTGATTTATACCATGCCACTCTGTCTGTATGTTATTCTTTTTTATTTATTCTTGAGAAATTTTGTGAACATAGCTAAGAAGTTTGGTGATGTATGTGCATGTCTAGTTAATAAAAAGTATACATGCATATAAGAGAGCGAGTGTGGTGTAGTGGTTTGAATGTTGGATTGTGATTCTGGAGACCAGGATTCAAATCCCTGCTCAGCCATGGAAATCCACTGGGTGACCTTCAGACAAAGGCAAAGGCAGACACCCCCCCACTCTGAACAAATCTTGCCAAGAACTCACAGTGATAGGGTTGCCTCAGGGTTGTCATAAGTCAGAAACGACTTGCAGGCACACAACAAATCTTGCCAAGATATGTGTTTTCCATACTTTTCATATTTACCAATAGTGTCATATTTGTGATTCCTCTACTTTGCAAAAGTTTTAATCATTTTCTCTTTTTTTCTGTTTCACAACAGTATTTCTGTTGTTTAAGGTACATACACCTTTATTTTCTTAGTTATTTCTCACCATGGTGGGAAAAACTCAGAATGAAATCCTTTCTGAAAGCAGACAAATGCTTCTGTGGATTCAGATGATAATTCTAGCAGTGATAATGATAACTTGCATTCTGACAGCTGGAAAGGAAGCCTGAAGCTTTAGTAATCTTTGAGATTTACTCTGCCTGACACTAGTATTTGACAGAGTTGATTTCAGTGATGTGGACTGGAGCTGCTGAATAAAATAACACATGCAGAAGTGCTCATGTACATGGGGAGGGAGAGCGAGAGAGAGACTGGTAAATTAAATTCACATTTTTGCTAACTGAAAGCTGATAGCCAGTGGCAATCTTTGATGCTGAATTAAAATCTGGTTGCATGGACACTTCATGCTCTTAGAAAGAAATGTTTTATGATTGTGAAACTGATCCAGAAACAATATGTACATTTGGTTTGGAGATGGAATTCTTTATGCAGTAGGATTTTGTTCAACAGCACTGAATATAATTAAAGTTTTATTCTTGTCTCTATTGTGACTGCTCATTGCTGATCTCATATTGAAAGTGTATGGTGATATTATGCCCCAAGTTCCATCAGAGGAATAACTGAACTCCATACAAAATGATGTGGTCAATATTTTGAATTCACACATAATTGAAATCTTAAGTATGTTCAGCTTTCCCTATCTGTTTATCCATGGTAAATTTTCTCTGACTATTTTGCTAAGAATGGACAAGTAGTCAAATGATTTTTTTAAAAAAAAAATGTTTCATGTGCAGAAAATGCTGATTTCTATGCAGGAAACTTGTATCCTATGCACAAAATGTCATTTTCTCTGGGGGAAAAAAGCATTTTTTGCATGAAATAAGCTGCAAACTATGAAGATTTTCACCTATCTTGGGCTGCTGTCACACTGTAGAATCAATGCAGATTTTAACTGTCATGGCTCCATCCTATGGTAGTCTGGGATTTATAGTTTGTTGTTGCACCAGAGCTCTCCAACAGAGGCAGTTAAATATCTAACAAAACTACAGGTCTCAGAATTCCATTGCATTAAGCCATGGCAGTTGAAATGGTGTCAAACTGCATTAATTTTGCAGTGTAGATGCACCCTTGGAGTCCCCTTATCAGTGCTTCCCAACTCTCATGAAAAGTTTGTTTTTTTTTTTAATGTATTTTCAATTTTTCTCTGTATAATTCTATCACATTAAGGTTTACACAGAATCTCATCACTCCTATTCTGAGTAATCTGAGATGAAAGCAAAGGATGTAAAATGTTTTCTCTTCAGTGGGCAGGACTGACAGCATTTTGCACAGGTTTTGATATTTCACATTTCAGGAAATCTTTGTGAAAATTGTTTGTGTATAAAAAGTTTATTTTGTGCAAAGTATTTTCTGTGCAAATCCTTTTTTTTTAGCATAAACACTTTTTTCACAAACAAAATTTGAAGGAGAAATCCCTAAACATAAAGAATATCAAAGCACGACTGTTTTTCATGGGCTGTCTCAATATGTAAAAACATCCTCTTTTGTCAATTTTGAATATTCTTTACATCTTCACTTCTACATACATAACTTGGAAAAGTTACTTTGTGGACTGCAACTCCCACAAACATTTAACCAGTATAGCTGTTATACTAGCTAAGGAATATACTAGCTAAGGAATATGTAAACCAAAAATAAATTAACAGATTCTAATCTCAACCTGTTATGCTGGGCAACATGCTGTTGGAACAGAAATACAAGAAAAACAGGTTATGCATCATTTCTGGAAATATCTTGATGTAGAAATTATAGCCTTGTCACCAGGTAACATAATAAAGTTCTAAGTTTAAAACTTCTGTAAGAGTTACAAAAACCTCCAAAACTGAAAGATGAGAAAGGCTTAACAAGCAAGACTTCTAACACCTGTAGTTCAATTTCAATAACTATCAGTGTGTGTCAGATCCCCCTGGGAAGTGAAAGACTGACACAATAGAAATGAAAAGCTTTATTTCATGAACATCAGTATTTCTTTAAGGACAAATCTTTAATAAAAGTTAATAACAGTAAATGGAGTTTCAAAGCTAAATGTCTGACAGCTGACACAAAGTTAGATGTCAGCTTGTTTTATGGAAGCAATAGAGTATTCTTGTGGGAGGATATGAATTCTGAAAAATAAAAGTTTTTTGTTTTTTGCTTTAAAAAAAGTGGAACTTGGTTATAACACAATTGGGCTGTACTTCAGAAAGGGAAAAAGTTTAAAGGTCTCATTTTATTATCTGAATTGCTGCTGGACAGTTCTGTAAGGATTTGTTTTTTAAAGAAAATATAATAAATTGTCCAAGTTGTAATTACTGAGTTTCCCTGAGGGCTCTTTCATATTTCTCTTCACCTCAGTACCTCCTCCATCTCTTCTGTAGGAAATATGTAGTCACTTGGTCCATGCAACAAGCATTTGGACAGATACATAGACATGTCTCATATATTTTGAAACCTAGTGAAGAAAAGTACCATTTAAATAGTGCCCCTTCTCATCATCTGAAGATCTGAGGGAAATCTGGTTAGGCATGTACTATTAAATTAGTTCTTTGAAACAATTTTCTTTGGGATAGCTGTGTTCATCTATTGTAGAAAAAACACAACAATGAATATTATTTTGATTTAACTTCCCCCTCTGTATGTGCTGCTGGAGGGACTGGGACCACTTTTGTGTGCCTTGAAAAAAGAAGAAACAACTGTTACTCTAAATGTGTGGGCTTGTAGAGTCTCCACTGACAGCAATAATCTATCTTTAGTTAGTTTGGAGAATACTCACCTTAAGTTTGTGAGAGGGGGTAATGTGTGCAGGATCCCAGTACCAGCTATACCAATAATAACTGATTAAGACTCCAGGCATGGAGAAATTATACAAACTTGTATTAATGAAAATATAGAGTAGCACACACATGGAGATAACCCATTCAAATACTCAGCATACAGAGCTAACTGAATAGACATGAAAGGGGATAGCAGAGATTGAGGGTTGGAAAGTGTGTGTGTGTGTTTACCTATCCTGAAGAAATGGTCCGTGGAAAGAAGGGAAAAAAAAGAACCTCAAGCCACAAGGTTTGAAAGTGCAGATTTTGGGAGGCAGATGGAAATGGACAAAGAAACTTAAACTGAGGCCTGGGGGTGACAGTCACTGTACAAGCAGAGAGAATCTACCCCACTGCTGCAAAAAGTTTTCATTTTGGGGTGATATTTATACCCTTAAAAACAACCCCAATCCATGAAAGTTCTGTGGGAAATCAAAAGTTTGATTATTCCTTGATGGAACCAGAGAAGGTTTCCAAAGTGGAGCATTTGTTTTGATATGCAGGAGAAGAAAGGGTGTGATTGTGATTGATGATACTTCATGAACTTTACAACACCTAGACAAAATGTCCACGGTCCAGGAAGGGGGTGCTTAGGGATACACAAAAGATGAAAGGGGGTCTTGTCTGATCTGGAAGAACTAATTTTTTCACTTTTGGTATCATTCAGAAATGCAGAGTAAAGGGATGAGGTTGTGTGGCCCTGCTTTTTCTTGAAACCTCCTCCATCCCCACCCCTTTCCACATGACAGAACCTATGTGTGATTCATATTACCTATGTCTGGTGCTATGCATGCCATTGCAGATCATGCCTACTCATGATGGTGCCTTAAAGTTGCATCAAACTGTATCTGGAGTGATAAATATATTAGGGTATGTTAGGGTACTTATAAAACAGATGTGTCATAAGGCAACCAGCATTGCAATAGAGCTTGTCAGAATATAAATTCCCAGCACACCCCTGTGACAGCTTTCTTCTTCATTGACTGACTCACCTTCCCACTCTTTGGGTCACAGACAGCTTCAGCTGGTAGCTGTTAGGAGTGGGATAGGAATTTGGGTGGCCTGTCATCTGATTGGTCATGTTAGAAAAAGATGGAAATTTTTGCACTATTGGCTGCCAGAACAAATGAAAATGGGTATCCAGATGTTGCCATTAAATAGGACACATGGGAGTAGGTAGTGTAAAAAAAGAGATTTGGGATAGGTGAATACCTACAGTGCATCTCTTTCATGAAGGCCACATCGCTCAGGGTTTAAAGGGAATTCTGGATACAGCAGCTCTCCCACATGCATATTTGGCTAATGACAGGTTTTGAAGTAACCAACTGTACCAGAAGACATATTGTATCTCAAGGAGGTGTAGTGGACTGATATTGTTCCCCTCCATGCTACCCAAATAGACCCTGTTTTCACTTCCTTGCTTTGATTCTGCCAAATTATGTGTCTTGTACAGTTGGTAACATCTGTAAAAGATAACATGTTTTAGAGAAAGACAAACAGAAGTCTGATTTCATGTTGACCTAGACCAAGAGATAAGACATAGGTGGAAAAGCACAGGGAGGAATTCAAACACCTAAAGATTACCCACCTTACTGAGTCAGTGACATAATATCAGCTGGAACTGCATAAGGAGAAATCTAAAGTTTGCACACTTTAAAGTGGTGCCAGGTTCATGGCTAACACCTGTGAAAACAACCACCAAATTGATGGCCTTGGAGGAGAATGCAATGGCACAATTTCAAAGTGGTGTGATCTACATCAAAGGGTAAATAATGGCCAAAGTCATCATGACACAGACAGGAAAAAAACCTATAAAATACCTAAGAAATTGACATAAGATTGGAGCTTCAGCACAAACTTTCAGACAAACTGAGGTGCTGTGCCTC